TGCACGCACACAAACACACACAATTTTGTCTAAAATGATGAATGGCTTCATCTTTTTGATTTTTGTTTAATGCATTGTACCAAATTGCACTGTAACATTGTATTTCCAGAGTGCAGCTATTATTAAGATCTGCTAAGTCATTACAGACCCTAATCATAAGTAGATGTGCAACAAAAAGGAAAGAAAATAGGATGACCTAGATTTTAAACAAGCCATATTTTATTCTGTTCTTCAAATACTGCAGAATATAAGCTCTAGTGTAATTCTCTTTTCCCCTCTTTGTGGCTTTTGTGTCATAAGGTATAAAGATGTTAGTTACTAACATAATCTATGACACATTTCAGGCAATATGATTTGAATACTTTTTGATTACTTTTAGATTTTTTATTAGATTTCAATTAGGATAATCTTGTGCTGTATGATTATAAAAAACAGTAGGCTAAAAACTTATTCTATTGTCTATTAATTAAATTAAATACCAACAAAAATAATCTAAATTGTAGATTTTTATATGATATTGTTGTGTCATACTAGTATGTTTAACAAATTAATAAAGTTTATTTAAATTTTGATATTGCCTTAAAATATCTGCATGGATGTGCCACAAAAAAAAAAAAAAAAAAAAAACATATTTTACTTTTTTTTTTTCAAATACAGCATAACATAAGATTTTTATTTTTGACATTTTTCTTTGTGGCTTTTGCGTCTTAAGTCATTCAGATTTAACACTGTGGCTCTTTTGGGATCATTTACATAACTGTTTTGCAGGGAGAGGAAAACATGTCATCAGTACACCCCCATCCCTCACACCTTCTCATCTCTGTATGGAAATGAATGGCTTAATCTTCCCTTTTGACATTCAGCAGATAAGGTAATCAATGGAGCATGCTGTCTGTTTTTTTTTTTTTTTCTTTTAGTGAATGTGTGTGTGAATTAAGTACTAAAAGCCTTGATGAATGAACTCATCTTTGGATTTCCTTTCCATTGAGAGTACTACCACACATACAACAGATTTTCAGACAGACTAATTCAATCTATAAATACTGTATAAGAGAATCGCTTTTTCAAATTTTTAAAATACAAAGTAATTCTTAAATTTCAGAAGATGTGGCTGTAAGGCTTATATTTGGATATTTCACATAGCAGTTCTTCTTTTTTGATGTGAAAAACTATTTAGCATGTTTATTTTTTTTAAGTGCAAGTGTTTGCTTGAAATTAAATATAAAATTTATTCTTTGGCTGTTTATATTTACATATCTAACCAAATTTGACAAATTGCATTTGCACAATAATCTGCATCTTACACTACTTGATTTGTATTGAAGTGTACAAATCTGAAGATGTAGGTTCACCTCAAAATCTAAATTCTGCCATGTTATTCCAAAATAAATCATTGTAATTCAAATGGAGATGTTTTTAATCAAAATCAAAACTTTGCAATGAGATCATAATTAATAGTTTTTTTAATACAAGTCTTTTAATTTTACACAGTTGCTTTATAACATTAATAGATTTAACGTAGGCTTTACTCCTACAAAAAGAGGTTACTTTAAGGTGTATTATTAACACTAAAAAAACAGAATGTATGTTTTCAATCTACCTTTTTTATGTACCTTTCAGAAATATACTTTACCTTTTGAGAATATTGTTAAATTGTGTGTACTTGACTTATACTGACACTTCACTTATGCTGACACATTTAAACATTGATCAATGTATAGTGATTACAATATTCACATTTTGGTCACTGAAGCTCAGCCATGCTCACTTGAAGCACTGATTAATGTTCTCAATGTTTATATAAGTTAAAGTCTAGATTAAATTTGTTCATACTAGAAAGTAATTGCATCTCTTCACAAAATAAGTTCCCTCCATTCCCCTTAAAATCTCTTTACGATATAATTTTTAATGGAGGTAAAGAAATCTCCCATGCAGCTTTAGTTATAAGTACTGTCATTAAGTTTTCTGCAAAAAAAAACAAAAGTTGGAATTGGTGACCCATGAGGGTGGGTAAACAAGACAGAAGTTTCACATTGGGATCAATTATCTCTCATTTCCCTGTGGTTTACCCCTCACTTTGTCTTGGGTCAAATTGTCTCATAATCTATTTTAACAGAAGAGAAAAAAATCTAAACAACATTTTTTGGTTTTGAAATTTGGTGACTTTTTCTAAAATCTCCCCAACATTAGGAAAAAAAAATTCTTTTGTCATATTTCAATGAAGGCAAGTATAAATACAAATATGCCGCTTAATGTCTGTGAATACTGTCTTGCTAAAAGCATTGCAAACTCATGCAGGTACTTTTGGCATTAGAAAATATAGCCTTTGCTTTATTCAGAAATGATTGAATGATTAAACATTGGTGAAATAGTTTAAACTTATGAGGGAAAACCTAGACATTCAAAGACTTTGTGATGAAGGTTGTTTCTTCAAACAAAATAGATTTGAGGATTGAAATGAAATGTGCATGCTTTATTTTAGTAGTTTAGTGAAGGTAGTCATTTTTGACCCAAAGGGAGAATGGTGTATACATTTTAAGACAACAGGAGGGTTAATATCCTTTGAATACAAAATTCATATTTAACCTCTGCTTACTGCTTGACATTAAAGTACACTGGTACATTTTACTAAAAATCTATTTTACATGCTACAAATATAAAGCTGGTAAGGAGTAACATGGTGATGTTCAAAAAACCAACTTTGTCTTTTGCTTCATCTGGAGTCAGTTCACACAAAGGTAAGAATTAATTATGAATGGTGTGATTGTTAAAGGGCATATGATAAAGCTTCTTTCAAATTCTGAACTGAATACTAGATATTCAGTGACCTGTGTGCAGCATTATCTTACTTTGGTGTAGACAGAGAACAAAAACCTCACTCTGTATGCACAGATCATTTGATACAGTCAACAGCGCTTCTACACTGCTGAACCTTTCCTTCACCCATACTCGACTCATCCTCATGTTCAGATTGTAATTATCTCCCTGCTGGGTAGTGGTTAATCTTTGTGTTCGGGTAGAAGAAATTGACTTCATTGTCTTTGACATTAACAGTTTAATTTCACAGCTGCTGATGGTCCAGATTATCTAGATTTTACTGTACATAACTAAACGTGGCTAGAAAGAAAATCAAATTGTAAATCATTTAGACTTTGAAGGATTTCTTTACCCAGACATTTTTGTTTCTTCAAACAAAATTGATTTGAGGATTGAAATTAAATGTGCATGCTTTATTTTAGTAGTTAGAATTTTTTGTCATTAATTCTTCAAACCCATACAAAATGTCATATATTTTTGAAAATAAAATGATAAACAATGATTTAAATATTTATTTTTACATCAGCAAATCAGAAAAACTTGTGACAGTATGGAAAACACATATAATAAAAAGAAAGTAGTTATTTCCAAATTTGCTATGACGTTATTGCAGACATTATAGTTTGTTTTGTCTGGTCAACTTCATTTCATTTCTAAATATACATCCTTCCCTGTCAAAGTTGGGACAGGAGCAGGTTAAGGCTGGTAATCAGGTAAATTGGTTAAATAATTATGTGATTTGAAACAGGTGATTGTAATTGTGATTTAGTACAAAAGCAGCATCCATGAAAAGTTTAGTCCTTAAGAAGCAAAGATGGGCAGAGGATCGCCAGTTTGCCAACAAATACATGAGAAAATTATTGAAATGTTTAAAAAGAATGTTTCTCAAAGAAAGTTACGAAGAAATTAAGTTAGGAAGAATATTTCACATTCAATAGTGCATAACATATTTAAAAGATTCAAAGAAACTGGATGAATTTCAGTGCTTAAAGGATAAGGGCGCAAGCTGAACTACCATTATCTCCAATCTCTCAGTTGGCACTGCATCAAGAATTATCATTCATCAACAAGTGATATCAGCAGATATCATATCACGTACCACAATATGTAGTTACACCCACAAATGCCAGTTAAAACTGTACTGTACCAAAAGGAAGCCCAATTTAATAGTGTCCAGAAGTGCCATTGACTTCTCTGGGCTTGGAGGCATCTGGGATGACCATCACGTGTACTGTACTGTGGTCAGATCAATCAGTATTTCAGGTATTTTTTGGGGGAGAAATGGACACCATAAGTTTCCGGCCAAAGAAGAAAAGGATCACCAGACTGTTACCAGCAACAAGTTCAAAAGCCAGGGTCTGTCATGGTTCTGTATGGAATTGTGTCGGTGCCCTTGGCAAAGGTAACTTGCATGTAATGGCATCATTTAAAGCTGTAAAGTACTGAGAGATTTTGGAGACGCCCAGGAACATCCATGCATATTTCAAAGCTCTGACTACGGAGGAAGAGGATATACTGTAGGTACCTGACTGACCTGTCTGCAGTCCTGACTTTTCTCAATTAGAGAACGAATGGCAAAAATGTGACAACGAAGACCCTGTACTGTTGTCCACCTTAGAATATATTTGCAGGAAGAAAAAAAATAATACACCAAAACATCTTCATCACTTGGTGTCTGCAGTCCCTAAACAGAAATAGAATTGATCTCAATGAAAATATTTTAAGAGGAGCCTAAAAAGTAACAGACCCAGCTCTTAAGGTTATGGATATTTAGCCTAATAATAGACAAAAGAGGAGGAAAATGTGCCAGGATGTTAAAAAACGTACCTTTAAAAGATCACCTACAACTTTACTGAATAATATTCACGGCACAATTAAAATCATCCCAGCCGGGTTAATCACGTTTTAGGCTCCCCTTGAAACATTTCTGTTGTGTTTCTTGATATTTGCATGCACTGTGAAAATGCAACACATTTTTGTAAATGTGTTTGTGTTGTGAGGATTTGGAACACTATGCTGTAAAACCAGTGAGGGTCTTTTCTTAAATTGTTGGTGTTTTTTGTAATTACTTGGGATTTCATGTTGGAGCCATTTATAGGTTGCAATTTTCTTTCGCACCACTAGAGGGTGTGTATGGTATTTATGCTCTCCTCACGACGATCTGAGGTGTAGAAGAAGGCAAAACAAACTTTTTGACCGGCATGGCTGTGAGAACGGGTTAATGTTTGTTTTGATGTTTACTTTTAATTTTGAGAAAATGGACAATACATGGATTGGAATATTCAACTTTATTTGCAAAGGTATGGACATTTCACTTTTTTATTGACCTGTTCAAGCAACAAATGCGTCAGAACCAATGACCAAAATATTCGCATCTACACTTTACAACACTGCAGCACGTTAAGCTCTCTTGGTCACTACTTTTGGACCACAGAAATTGGCAAAGATCTTAGTTATAACAGCTCTTTTTAAGGAAGTAAATTAGCTATTTTAGAGTTACTGATTGGCATAAAATATATTTATATACTACTAAGTATTAAGCATAATAAAGGTATACCTTATTCATTAAATATAGTTATCAATAATAATAATGATGATGATGACCTTTCAGAAATGTATTCACATATGTTCTGCCCTACATCTATGAATAGTCATTTGACTTTGCTTGATATCAGCTTTTTTTCTTTTTTCTCTCTTGTGGCGATTTCAGAAGTAATATTATCAACCCTACTTCATCTTTATTACTTTCTAATGATTCTGGGCCAGTTTGATGAATACTAATTAGATGCTGATATGTAAGTGTTAGCAGTTGTGTCCTTAAAACTATAAAGGCTTGTAATGAATTAGAATTCGAGCATATTCAAACATAAATTTTACATGAATTCTATAATAATGACACATTTAATTGGATTCAATATCCTGGATTGGTAGTAACTTAAATGTTTTACACATTAAGAAACAAATTAATGTGTTGTAAATAGTCATCATATAGCAATTTTGGGAGTCACCCTCAGTTTCACTAAATCATGCGTATATTGCAGATTTGATGTATTGGTTAATGTATTGGTCCAGCTTTACCAAACTAATACTATGTTTGGCATTTTAATATTTTTTATTTTTACAAGTACCAAGTACAGAGGGTGACTCCATTGTGTACCTTAGGTTTCTTCTTCATTCTTGTCATCTTCTTTCCTAAATGTGTCCAGGCAGGCCGTAGGTCCTTAAAGGGCCATGAAACCCCCTCGTTTTAGCAGGGTGTTTTCACAACTCTACTTTGGAAAAAGTCAGAAAAGTGGGCGTGTCCAGCTCTGTTTAGGGGGGTTGTGTTGGAGGAAGAACAGAGGCTTGGCGTGGGAGTGTCTATTTGGGCGCGCTGAATTTCAGAGTCAAAACACACAACCACAGCGGACAATGTGACTGTGTTTACATGGACATCTGTTGTCGAATTATATGCCAAATTATTAAATGGGGGACTTTAACTGCAGTTTGGCTCTTTCATTCAGGGAATTCATTCATGTCCCTCCCGACAAACGAGATATTTGATTCGAGGATCTGCTCTAAGCGTGTATTTTTCATGCAATGTTTGATACCGCATGGCGAATGAGAGAAAAAAAACTCAGCATTTCCCGGAAACTTAGATGCACACGGCAGGTAGAGTCAGAAAGCCGCGTGTGTTATTCCGGTCACTAAATCCAACACGAGGTTATAGTTTGGTTGTAACTGTTAGTGCTAACTTGTTTACACTGGTGCAATAGTTTGTTTGATACGAATAAAATACGAACTGAATAAACAAAGAGCATTGGTCGCTCACTTACCAAATCTGTAGAGACAGGACAATCCACAGCAACTAGAGCCGCGTCTTTATTTAGAGGAGACTACAAGCGAATCCCGATCTCAGCGTTTGCAGATGAGAACAGCTCTCAGGTAAACAATGTTCCTCCTTAGACACATAAGTTATGGTTGTCAAGCGTCGCGTACACTGTTAATCCACACATGACTCAGAGCTCTCACAGAGAGAAAATGAAAACGAAACTTAACTGCAGAAAACTATAAAAGCAACACTTCACGCTTGTTTTGCCAATACAACGTGGCGTCTCTGCCTTCTACACTCTGACAGCAATGAATATTAATGAAGTTGCACAATAGAGCGCGCTGATTGGTTTGAACCAAGCCTTACTCATGCATTAATGCAACACACTGTAAGACGTAATAAGACTCACTCTGGCACAGACGCCCAGTCCGCACGCTGGAATACAACGCTATTATGTCATGGCCGTGACGCAGCTTCAAAAATTCGTTTCAAACCGGAAGTATGAATTTGCTTGAAATAACGCAAAAACAACCAATTTACACTTTTTAGTGAAATATAGGTGTCCTAATAGTGTTTTTAGCAGTGTGGGACACATACACGACTGTCAACAGCTCAAAAAATGTGTTTTGGTGTTTCGTGACCCTTTAAAGCACCACATTTGGCAGGATGGTCTGAAATGCCTTTACTTCTTAAGTGCACACACTGATCAGATCATGGCGGGTACTAAAATAAGTACATTTACCTTTTTTGAGCAGTTCTCAGCAACCACTCAGGCAAGAAGTAAAGCTTATTTTTACCTCTACAATTTCATGAATAACTGTATTCCAGCACTTTAAGCTTTAGGTCCACATATCATTCAGATCATGTAAATAAAAAGGATTATCAAAAAAAAAAAAATTAAATGGTTTAAAAGATGTAGCTTCATAAGTGTTTTAAGCCATGGCTAGAAAATGTATTTATATTTTTTAAATGGTGTGACTTTTTAAAATTATTTTAAACAATTTTTGTCATTGGTCTCTGTAGATGACACATACAAGATTTAATGAGAATCAAGCCTAGTTCACACTAGAGGATTTTAAGCCTGCTTTGAGCTCGATTTGGAAGTTAACGAGCTCGCCGACAGATCGGGCTGTGATCGGGAAGAAATCTGCGGGTGCACGGCGCTCGCCACTCTTTATGTGTGAACTACTGAACAACGCATCAACGAGGCTCGCTGACGCGTCGCAGACACCTCGCAGACTAAAATCCAATATTTAGCATGCTGAATATTCCAGAGCAGCCGGCTGACTCAACCCCACCTGTGGTCAGATGTAGTGACGAGCTGCAGCCAATGAGAGAGCATATCAGCATGAGCTGAATGCCTGCGTGCTCAGGAGCTCAACAGAAACATCTGTGATTGGTCAGAATGGGCATCGGTGCACTCGCTTCATTCTGCGTTAACGCAGAAATAAGAGTAGGATATATTAACAGTGGAACTAGAATTCTGTAACTATTAGAATTACCATACTGCTCATTCTGACCTTTCTCATATAAAACGCCATATTGTCACAACATATTTACATTCAAAGCTATTATTGAGATATTAAAATTAAGCTTTGAATATCTGGCATCATATTTAATGACACCATTACCCTAAAAATATTATCTTTTTTGGAAATACAACCTATAAATATGCAGTTAAGATACTAGAACACGCAAAAGCCTTGGCTTTCATTTTCACTTTCAAACAGGAGCTATTTCACAGCACAGAATATGCTGTTTTGAAAAATATCTGAAGTAAATTAATGTTTTTGCCATCAGAAAAATTTGTTTATGTTAGCAGGAAGTTGCTAGGCAAAAAAAATGCACACATATTTAAAGTCACAGCGAAAAGTATCAGACATGCATGCAGTCATTTTGACCAATATGGTAATTTAAGGCAGAAATGCTCAGTTCTTTACTGTTTTATAATTAAAAAAATAATAATGTCAGAAAGGAATACACTGATAGTTAGAAAGCGGCAAGGTGTTATAGATGTGTTAGTTTTATTTTAAAGAGTTATACAATTACAAAAATTAAAAACTCTGTGTATCTATCCACTCGAACCTTGCAGATGAGTGATTGATCCGCTGATGATGCATCAGCTGATTTGACAATATTTTTAATTGCTTTCTGGAAAGCTTGAAATGCTGTCAGTGATGTAATCAGCACACAAGCAGCCAATAGTGTTCAGCTTTTTCTGACGACTCCTCCCTCAAAATTTCATTGGCTGTGGTTTGGTAGCTTGAATGAGCTGTTGGGGAATGAGTTGTTGTCAGATCATGTAGTGTGTGACCCCCCTCTTGTGGATTATTCACGTAGTGTCGCATAGTGTGAACACCACAGAGATTAAAAGACACAAAGTCGTCATGTAGTGTGAACGGCAAAGCGATCTGCTGATGTTTAAAATCCTGTAGTGTGAACTAGGCTTCAGCAAAGAGGATTATAGAAGGAGACTGTAAATTTGTCTTTTGGCATCTTGTTGCACTAATATTGACCACTTGATGGATTCACAGGATGAAGGGGGATAACATCCGTTGCATTCAACAGGTTTTCTCATGCACCAACCCAAACACAGAAATTCAGGGCTTAACGGAAATCCAAAGTTTGCCAGGGTGCACGATCACGTGCATTCAACTCACAAAAATTATATTTATGACATCACTTGAATGCAACATATAGTTCATGTGAAGCAAAAGCTCAATGAAAGCATTCTGGACAGCTGCAGCACAGCTCTGATTTTAATTTGCACAGAGAAACCCTATTAAATGTATAATCCAACATCTCAACTGCTCAACAATCTCAACTTCTAAATGCAAAATTAATTAAGAAAACTTTTGCAAAATTTTTGTTTTAAACAAACAAACAAACAATAGAACCATCACAGCTGTTTTAATGGTTTCAAATACACCAATAAAAGAATAACAATCATCTTTTAACATTAAACCAGCATAATGTAATGTTTTCTAGTGCATTTTGGGACACATTACATTATTGGTTTTAACATAACATTAATAGAAGGTGAAAGAATTACCAGTTTAAATTTCTAAATGTTAATACAGTTTATATTCCACTCCTAGACCGGGACTGGAAGCCACTGTCCCTAGAGAACAGTGATTATTAATAAAGATAAGACTGCAATATGGATGAACAAAAGCAATCCATTAGTGGTGCTACTTCACAGTAGTCTGCTTATATCTGGCTTGCAAACACTTTCCAGATCCATAATGCTGATTCTTCCAAAATTTCTCAAACTGATTCTTCTTCCATGGTGTTTTTTTCCTGCCTTGTTCTTGCCAGAGTTGCATTTAAAATATCTTTTTCAGACCTATAAAGCAGTCAACGGCCTGGCATGTTACATAGACACTGCTCACCAGTTTTATAAGCTCAGCATTTTACAATAGACTCAAAGCACTATATTTCAAGATGAACAAGGTGGACTGTTGGTAAAACAAAACTTAATAAGAACTC